CACCCTATTAAGCTTTTTTTCTGATAAAGAAATATATTTAATGGATCAAAACAATTTCTAATTTGGTAGTATGAGTTTAATGCAAAAAATGTTTACTGACAGCTTAAAGTGTCCTTCAATCTGAACTAATCTAGATGCATAGTCTAGGTCAGTAGTTACCAAAGGGGGGTGGGTGCCTCCTAGGGGTAGGGCTGGGTACCGAACATCGGTTCTTTTATGGTACCGACCGAAATGCTTCGGTTCTACAGAGTATCGAAACATGCCTTGTCTTTCGGTACCAAGTTTCGGTGATTGGCTGTAACACTTAATCTGATTGCGTCATTCAGGAAAAATAGATACGTGGTCACGCCTACAGCCAGGGTTCATGTGTATCTGTTGTGAACTGGTTGCGAGCGTCGTGGAACCCCTTTAAAATGCCCCCCAGGTCAAAAGTGTGGCTTCACTTTACTAAGACTGATGCCAATAGTGCGCAATGCAATACATCGTGCATGGAAACAATTTAAGAGCAGAAAGTTGCTCAGTGTTTGACTGCAAGAAGAGCGGACCACAGCCAGCGCAACCATCCTCCTCTCAGCAGCCCGTGGGCAGAGCAAAGCCAGAGCGGAGTGAATCATGCTGCTTTCACACCGAACGCAACAAGAGCAGCAAAATCACGTCTGCTGCTTCCTTTTTTGATGTTATACCAGCTTCTGACGCGCGGCTGAAGCAGCTTTGCTGCTGTGGCTGCGCGGTTGAAAAGTGGCTCTGACGCGCGTTGGGCGGAGCTACTCTATCCTTTATTTGCCTTGAAGCTATATTTGCTGTGATCAGTGGGAATAAAGTAGTTTTATTATGTTTTTAAGTGGGACAATCCACCTGAAAACTAAATCAGTGCAGTCAGTTCATCCAGATTACCATCCTGCCTTCCAATATTATTTCTGTCGGAGCCGCTCAGACCCCCACATACCAGCGGTGTGCCGTCAGTAGGATCCCATTCAACGGGCTTGTTTGTCTCCTGAGAAAGCAGACATGTTAATTTTTCTAAAGAAAAACTGCTAAGTAAAAAGGTCCTCACAATGTTACAGTGAATATTAGACACTGACTTGTTTGCAACTGTTAAAAAAAATTATGTAAGAGGAAAAATGTAAATGGAAAAATCAGAGCTTAAAATAAAACTCAAGATTTGTACTTTATTATGTTGTGTAATTTTCTTTTTCTTCGAATTGATATTATAAAACTGGTATCGAAAAAAGTATCGTTCAGGAACCGGTATCGAAGTGAAGGTATCAGTATTGGTACCGGCACCGAAGATTTTTGAACAATACCCAGCCCTACCTAGGGGGAGCTCAGTCTCATTGCAGGAAGCGTGGTAGAAATAAACTAAATAAATGGACCATTCATTAATTGATAATATTCTGAAAATAAATTCTAAACCCTACTAAACAGTAAAATAAACATTTACATAAAAAAAAAAAATTAAAATTTAATGGCAGTCTTGTGATTTAAAAGATATCCTCAATGTGATGGTGAAGTAATTAAAATCCTCCTCAGGCTGATAATCATATACGCACATATATACATATTTTTAAATATTTCTGTGTGTATTAATTTTTGTATTATTGTGTCTTTTACAACAATGTCCATTTTTATTTTAAAACTAACCAAACCACTAACATTCTTAATATGTTTTTTATTGGGTTATTTTAGCTCACAGATCGATGTTCTTATTGATTAAATCTACTTTAACCTGACAAACTCACACAGGCACATCCAGCAACCTAAAATAAAGCATTAAATTTTTTATTTAATGTTCCTTTATCAACGTTCCTGGTCTAATGACTTCTTTCCCTCACTGTTCCAGTCGCCGCCCTTCCTGACCCGGAGCTCCCGTTCTGGATTCAGGAACTGGGTAATTTTAATTTCAATTTTAATAACCTCATGGGAGGACTGAGGAGAAGGATGAGGAGGTTGAGAGAACAGTTACACATTGAGGAGGTGGAGGAAGCTTCTTCTGATGATGAGGAGGAGGAGGTAGAGGCTGAAGCAGTAGTGGTGGAGGAGAATGAGGAGGTGGAGATACAGGATATTTTGGGGGTAGAGGTTAAGGACGAGGTTGAGGATGAGGAGGAGGCTGAGGACGAGGAAGAGGTTGAGGACGAGGATGAGGAGGAGGCTGAGGAAGAGGTTGAGGAGGAGGCTGAGGACGAGGTTGAGGAGGAGGCTGAGGATGAGGATGAGGTAGAGGTTGAGGATGAGGCTGAGGACGAGGTTGAGGATGAGGAAGAGGTTGAGGATGAGGCTGAGGATGATAGGTATTTTTCTAGTGAGTCTCTTGATGAGGAGGAGGCTGAGGAAGAGGTTGAGGATGAGGACGAGGATGAGGCTGAGGATGATAGGTCTTTTTCTAGTGAGTCTCTTGATGAGGCTGAGGACGAGGTTGAAGATGAGGAGGAGGCTGAGGAAGAGGTTGAGGATGAGGAGGAGGATGAGGCTGAGGATGAAGGGTATTTTTCTAGTGAGTCTCTTGATGAAGCTGAGGACGAGGATGAGGAGGAGGCTGAGGAAGAGGTTGAGGATGACGACGAGGATGAGGCTGAGGATGATAGGTCTTTTTCTAGTGAGTCTCTTGATGAGGATGAGGACGAGGTTGAAGAAGAGGTTGAGGATGATAGGTCTTTTTCTAGTGAGTCTCTTGATGAGGCTGAGGACGAGGTTGAGGATGAGGAAGAGGTTGAGGATGAGTATGAGGACAAGGCTGAGGATGATAGGTCTTTTTCTAGTGATTCTCTTGATGAGGCTGAGGACGAGGATGAGGCTGAGGATGATAGGTCTTTTTCTAGTGAGTCTCTTGATGAGGCTGAGGACGAGGTTGAGGATGAGGAAGAGGTTGAGGATGAGTATGAGGACGAGGATGAGGCTGAGGATGATAGGTCTTTTTCTATTGAGTCTCTTGATGAGGCTGAGGACGAGGTTGAGGATGAGGAAGAGGTTGAGGATGAGTATGAGGACGAGGATGAGGCTGAGGATGATAGGTCTTTTTCTAGTAAGTCTCTTGATGAGGCTGAGGATGAGGCTGAGGATGATAGGTCTTTTTCTAGTGAGTCTCTTGATGAGGCTGAGGATGACGAGGAGGATGAGGAGGAGGCTGAGGAAGAGGTTGAGGATGAGGGTGAGGACGAGGCTGAGGAGGAGGCTGAGGAAGAGGATGAGGTTGAGGACGAGGATGAGGAAGAGGTTGAGGATGACGACGAGGATGAGGTTGAGTATGAGGAGGCTGAGGAAGAGGTTGAGGATGAGGAAGAGGTTGAGGATGAGGCTGAGGATGATAGGTCTTTTTCTAGTGAGTCTCTTGATGAGGCTGAGGACGAGGTTGAGGATGAGGATGATAGGTATTTTTCTAGTGAGTCTCTTGATGAGGCTGAGGAAGAGGTTGAGGATGAGGAAGAGGTTGAGGACGAGGATGAGGCTGAGGATGATAGGTATTTTTCTAGTGAGTCTCTTGATGAGGATGAGGAGGAGGCTGAGGAAGAGGTTGAGGATGAGGACGAGGATGAGGCTGAGGATGATAGGTCTTTTTCTAGTGAGTCTCTTGATGAGGCTGAGGACGAGGTTGAAGATGAGGAGGAGGCTGAGGAAGAGGTTGAGGATGAGGAGGAGGCTGAGGAAGAGGTTGAGGATGAGGAAGAAGTTGAGGACGAGGCTGAGGATGAAGGGTATTTTTCTAGTGAGTCTCTTGATGAGGCTGAGGACGAGGTTGAGGATGAGGAGGAGGCTGAGGAAGAGGTTGAGGATGAGGATGAGGCTGAGGATGATAGGTCTTTTTCTAGTGAGTCTCTTGATGAGGAGGCTGAGGAAGAGGTTGAGGATGAGGAGGAGGCTGAGGAAGAGGTTGAGGATGAGGAAGAGGTTGAGGATGAGTCTGAGGATGAAGGGTATTTTTCTAATGAGTCTCTTGATGAGGCTGAGGACGAGGTTGAGGATGAGGAGGAGGCTGAGGAAGAGGTTGAGGATGACGATGAGGATGAGGTTGAGGATGATAGGTCTTTTTCTAGTGAGTCTCTTGATGAGGAGGCTGAGGAAGAGGTTGAGGACGAGGATGAGGCTGAGGATGATAGGTCTTTTTCTAGTGAGTCTCTTGATGAGGTTGAGGACGAGGTTGAGGAAGAGTTTGAGGATGAGGACGAGGATGAGGCTGAGGATGATAGGTCTTTTTCTAGTGAGTCTCTTGATGAGGCTGAGGACGAGGCTGAGGACGAGGATGAGGCTGAGGATGAGTATGATAGGTCTTTTTCTAGTGAGTCTCTTGATGAGGCTGAGGACGAGGCTGAGGATGACGAGGAGGATGAGGCTGAGGACGAGGATGAGGATAAGGACGAGGATGAGGCTGAGGATGATAGGTCTTTTTCTAGTGAGTCTTTTGAGGTATCTAGTGAGTTCTCCGGATATGACACCACAAGCTCTGAGGAAGAAGACGATGAAGATTCCCCGGACTGCCAAGAAGACCGTGCCTCTAGGAAAAGGAGAAGAGACGAAGATGAGGAAGATGATGAAGACAATGACCACCTTCCACCTCCTCTTCGGTTCACCCTGAGGATCCCCCCCCCTTCAGACTCCCTTGGAACCACGAGGAGCCGGAGGATTCCCCGGACTGCCAAGAAGACCGTGACTCCAGGAAAAGGAGAAGAGAGGAAGATGATGAAGAGGAGCCCCCTGGGAAGAGGCCTTGTTGCGAGAGGCATGTTTGAGAATAGGGATTTCAAGAACCTTCCTTTAACGCCTTCAACAATCTATTTTATTGCTGATTTGGTGACTTTTGGAGGTGGGAAGGCTGAAGGACTGGAAACAGTCACACCTAGATATCATTTATAGATTGTTTTTATATCTGGCAGGTCTAGGGATGCCTTAGGTAGCGTCTTGCACCCTGGCTTTTCTTTACCCCGCTGCTAGATTTATTTTTTTAGATGCTAAGGAGTCTGGCAGGTCTAGGGATGCCTTAGGTAGCGTCTTGCACCCTGGCTTTTCTTTACCCCGCTGCTAGATTTATTTTTTTAGATGCTAAGGAGTCTGGCAGGTCTAGGGATGCCTTAGGTAGCGTCTTGCACCCTGGCTTTTCTTTACCCCGCTGCTAGATTTTGATGTAAGTTTTAGATGTTAAGAATTTCTGTTAGCACAGACATCTGAGGAAATGATAACAACTAATAAAGCAGAAATAGTCTAACATGCTCTACATCTAATGTGGACATTCTGCTAGATAACAGAAGGAAACCCAAACAGTTTTGACAAGATTAAACACAGAATGGAGGCAAATCAACAAAAACAAATAAATAAAAAACACAAAAAGACAGAAATTAAATCCTGGTTAAAAGATCAACCACAAGGAGGCAAACCAATTCAACGAAACAGCTGGACATCACTGCTGAGGACAATGGAGGAGGTCAAACTTAAACCCTAAAGGAGAAAAACAGGAAAGAATGGAACAGAGACACAGCTTGTGGTGATCATCAGTTGGTGTGGTCTCTGGGATGCTGGTGAGAAGGTAGAGAGATGACGCTTGGTGGGGCTAATTGATTTAGACCAGTTAGAGGCAGAGGACAGGACTGATGTGAGGATTTGAGTTAGGAGAAGCACCGACTGTTAGAAACGGCTTTCCGGTGTGACTTGGTCTAGTTCTAGATGTTCCTCTGGTTAGTTAGTTTTCAGGCCTAGTTGGAGGGAAAAGAACCCTCTGCAGAAATATTCTCCATATCATCTAGGCCTGTCCTGACCGCAGTGGATCTCTTCTGTGTTTTTTGAATCCCATGTTGGACCGAGCCTCTCCAAGCTTTGGGCCATCAGAAGATGCTGATGAGATCTGCAGCGACCAAACCAGAGGAGGATCGTCTGGGCTGCTGACCTTCACAAAGGGTGAGAGCATGTTCAGTAAGGAGCAACAATAATCCATCTTTTAAATATGAAGTTAAAAGTTCAGATGGCCTCACTTAATTTTTCATGTATGTTCAGACACCGTGGACGTCCAAAAGCAAAACTCCTGTGAGGAACCGGGACATCCAGGATGGTGAGGTGCTTTCCAGTCCCCACCTGAGGACGGCACAGAGAAAGACTGGAACAGAAAACACACGGAGTAAGACTTTATCAACACGACAGCAGTCATTGAAACACAGAAAGACTAAGATTATGATGAAAACAACATCCTGCCCCAGATTTCAACTTGGTGTCGAGGAAATTCTGTCGATTAATTTGTCTTATTTTTACAGGGAAAGCAGGTTGAACAGCTAGCAGTGTTCTAGCAGTCGGATCACATTGGAACAGAATCCATCCACACATGTTTGGAGGTATGTTGGTTTGACTAGAGAAACATCACATGCAGATAGGTTAAGACTCTGAGGATGCTTTGCTTCATTTATGAAGGAGCTGAAGAAGAGGACGGAGCACACAGTCCACTAAGCAGGAGAAACATGGCTCCTCTATTTGTCTCTCCAACATTCTGGAGTCTAAAAAACGTTGACGACCTCGCAGCTAAACCATCAGTCTGCTACACCCAGGAGAAGAAGGTAATGAACCTTTAATACTTCCAGATGTTCATCAGTATTGGTGAAGATACTAAAAACAGATCCAGAACAAACAGATACAAACGCTACAACCATCCCATCAAGGTGGTCTAACCTTTAATATTCATCTTTCCATCATGAATTGATGTTCACCTCTATTTGTATCTCTGTAACCAAACCTTTATCAGAACCAGAAGTTCTGACTTTTCCATTAGACCACAGAGAAACAGTTAAGAAGCAGCTTCTGATCCAATATGGGAGAATTTTGGCCTGGTTGATCTCTGAAGGGTTTTTTAGAACCTATTAAAGCAGAGAAACGACCGACTGTGTGGAAGTAAATCTGTGTCGATGCGATTTCAATTAAAAATGCCACTGAAATTTAAATGTTGTATATTTGTACTTACTGTTTCAGTGTTAAAATATATTCAGAACACATTTTTGACCTAAAAAAATTAATTGTCATTATTTCTACACAGTTGAAATTTCATTTGTTATTTTTTTCTTCAAGCTAAAAATTCACATTACTATTTCAAAGTGATTACATTTTCAATACTTATTTTTCAGTAAAATTTTTGAGTGTTAAAAAAATCTGCATATAAAAAAATTCAACCTTTCAAAATTCAAACTCAATATTTTCAGCCTCCTGAGATTCAACTGGCTCTATTTCACCGTCTTAAATTCTGCGTTTAAATTCAGTGTAAAAAGGGAAGCCAATCCCGTTACGTTTTCTTAGTCACGTGACGCTTGTGGCGCTCATACTGTAGGTAAACCAGAATCACGGAGCCGATCATGCAAGCTAACGCTAACTCAACGGTGAGTTTATTACTTTCATTTTTCTGTAGTTGAGGCAGCGTTAGCTAGCATGACCGGCTCGGTCATGCTGGTTTTCCTTACCGCATGAGCGCCACATGCGTCACGTCACGTGACCAAGAAAACGTAAGGGGATTGGCTGGGTGTTGGACACCACAATCCATTGCTAATGTCTGTGACCTGAAATAACCCTTCCCTTTTTACACTGAATTTAAACGCCAAATTATTTTTTATATGCAGATTTTTTTAACACTATAAAAATTAAACTGAAAAATAAGTATTGAAAATGTAATCACGTTGAAATAGTAATGTGAATTTTTAGCTTGAAGAGAAAATAACAAATGAAATTTCAACTGAGTAGAAATAATGACAATGATTTTTTTTAGGTCAAAAATGTGTTCTGAATATATTTTAACACTGAAACAGTAAGTACAAACATACAACATTTAAATTTCAGTAGCATTTTTAATTCAAATCCCAGCGACACAGATATACTTCCATAGACTGTAGACTCCAACAAATGCAGCATTTTCAGGCATTTTCTCCAAGCATTGTTTACGGTTATCACTTCTGTTAACTTTAGGTTCTCCCTGTGTGTTTCCCTCTTCTATTGGTTAAAGTTACACCTCTCCCAGTGTTTATGTGTTTAAATTTCACATACTATCGTGTTCGTTCACTAACTCCTGTTTTTTTTTTCCAGATAAGGTCATCTGCTCCTTGGACCGGTGTCTATGTGATTGGCTGTGCTTTCTTGGATTGAATTCTGTGAATGCCATGATAAACTGTATTTATCTTTACCATATTGTAAATAGGATCTAACCGGATGTTTGTGTTTAGATTTTATTCTGTGTTTTTTTTTTTTACTTCTGTTACATGTTTCTGTATTAAAATTGTCATGTTAATTGCCTTTAGATGACATTTGTTGGGACTTGTTTCTATTTTAAAACTTATTTATATTAAATCCCCTTACTGGGTCTGGTTCTGTTTAAGTATGCTTCCTGTCGTTTTATCTTCATCTGTTATTTCTCACTATAATAAAGGTTTCATTGCAGTAATGTGAACAGGATCTGTTTGTATTTTCTGGTTAAGTGTCTTGAAATAAGTTGTTGTAAACTGATTCTTTATAAATAAACCAAACTGAAGTCAAATGGAGCAAGAGTCCTAATATTACTATAGTACAGCGCTTTGGCAGATTGGTGGTTATTACTGTTTCCCTGTTGGGGGGTCTGACCTGAGAGCTCATGTTAATAGAACAATTGTTCTTGTCACCTTGCAGTGTCAAAACAAATTAGCCTTAAATAAGGACAGTGAGACGTTCCTCCTGCAGTTCTTCTCATTTTATTGACCTTATAGACAATCTGGGAGTTTAGCAGCAGAGCAGAAGGGACACATCAACACTGAGCCACACAAAGAACAACAAACAAATATGGGAGGATAATTAAAGATTAATGTTAAAATAAAACAGTAAAAAATTCAATCAACTAGGAAGAGAGCAGGAACTAAATACTTAGTGAACCCAAAGGCAAACAGCTTTGGTTAATTTGAATAAAACTTGGTTTTAAGGTGATTTTCTCTTCTTTAAACTATACCTTTATATCTCTACCATACTTGGTCCCTCAGGGTTGCATTGCTCACTCCTTTTAGCAGAAACCAACTAGTTAATGTTTCCGGCTCTATATTCTATCAAAAGAAAAGGGGAAAATGGATTTAAATGGATTGATGATCCTAAACTCACATTTAAACTGGTTTTGGAATAAATTAAGCAGCTTTAAATGAACTTGTGGAACCTTGGCCATTGTCATGTCTGGATGAACACGTTAAAGGCTACGTTCACACTGCAGGCATTGACGCACAGTTCAGATTTTTTTAGGAAATCTGATTCTTTTGCGTGGTTGATCTCATTTCCAAATATGTAATCTTCTGTGTGAACTGAATTCATTCAACTTAAGTGTCACAAGGGAGCGTGTTCTATGTTTACAGAAGTAAACATGAAAGGTAGAGCTGGAGCACATTTGCAATCTTTAATTTCTTTCCCAGCCCCAGCCCGCCATTTTGACCCGGGAGCAGAAATACACATTATACATTTCATTATAAAGGCAGAAAACTAGACTCAACTGAACAGAAGAGGTTACAGGACCTCCAAGACAGCCGCAAGGCTGAAATAAAGGTGTAATAACACTGATACTAATTAGATTTTAGATATTCTTAGTGTCACATAATAAAACTAATTGTTGTGTTGTAGGACAAACTTTATTCCCTGGACCCTATCCAGAAGGACAGAATTCTGGATAGAATGGTGCAACGGTCACCAGGAATGATGATTGACGTCATGCATTTCCTGGACGTTCCAGAGAGCCCTGTCTTTGTCCCTGACCCAGCTGGTCTACACTGGTGCATCTGTGGCAACTGCAGAGAAATGGACACAGATCTGGAGAGAAAGTGCTGTCGGCAGTCACCACAGGACTGTGTCAGTAAAATGGGCCATATGGACTATTATATTTTGGATGAGGGTGTGTTGGGGCTGGCTCATGCTGCATGGAACGACATCTTTGCCCTGGAGGATAACCCTGAACCTGGGGTAGACCAGCGGCAGTTCAGGCATACAGCTTACCGTCAGTTTGTCCTGTGGCAGCAGGGACGCCTGGGTGTGGGCAACAGGGTTGTGATACCCAGCTGTTGTGTGGGTCGCATTAGGGATAAATTCCCTGACCCAAGGGGCCAATACACTGGTTTTAGGGTGCAGCGCTTGTTGTAAAGTTTTCAAATAATTGTACATAGTTCTATTCTATTTTTTATATTTTTGCTTTATAGACATACCAGCACAACACACATTGCTTTCAAAGTTTATTTACAAATAAAGATCTGTACATGTTTCACCACAAGAGAAAAGTGCCTCCTAACTTCCTATTTACAGAATTCAAATGCTTTGGATCGTAAACATCCATCTGCTCAGTCCTCTAGATCCTCTGTGTCTCTGTGGACCAAGTCCCCACCGGACACATGTATGCTTACAAGTTCAGCTGTAGGTGGTGGCTGTTCCGGTGCGAGCAAACCAAGGCGCCTTGGGTCAGCAGACCTCAAAGTCTGCTTGCGGGGAAGGCCTTTGCAACTTCCCAGCCTCCTTGCCAGAATTGCCCTCTGAAGGTCAGGAATTTAGCTGTACTGCTTCTTTTCCTTCATGGTGTGGACACTCCAGCTCTTTGACTTCTTGTTGTATGAGCGTCTGTAGCTAGAAAGTAATAAACAGAGCCATGTGTTGAAATCAATATAGCCAAATTTGTTTACAATGTAAGACATTCACAACAGAAACATTACAGTAGAAACATAAATTTTTCGACCATCCAGGTTGCGTGCAGGAAGGCGCCCATTGTGCTTGTTGTAGTCAATGGCAGCCAGTAGTGTCCTTGTCTTGTAGACAAATGGTGTGTAGGCGTGCCGCTTTGATGAGTACATGAGGAGGTGATTTTGGAAGGACTCCAAATCAGATGTGGTCCTATAAAGGTGGGACAGGAATGGGTGATGAGAATAACGCACTAACATGAAATGACTAAACATACCCAAATTAGAGACTACGATGGAAAAATAGCAACAACTTGTTCTATGCAATGAATGACTAGATGCTTACCTGAAGTTCAAGAACTTTTTCACCAGGCCCAACCATCGCTTGTCGAGCACAACTCCAGCCAATGCCTTGTGAGCGGCAGAACCTGTAATGATAACCTTACAATTCACATATACCGTACACATACACACAGATTTGGACAGGGAGTTCAACTTCTGCATTCATTTACTGAAAATACCTTGTTGGATCCATGGCTTCTCCTGGCTGCCTTCCTCCAGTGACTCGTGCTGACAGCACCCAGTTGCCCAAGAGTGCTCGTCCCGTACGTGGTGCAGCACGCCAACCCACATCATCTGCAAAAAAGGAAAATTACATACAGTGCATACAGAGACAAGCAATGTCTGCCAGCGTAAGGAGGAGACCTGGTCAAAATATATACATTTTCACTTGACATACCTTGAACTGCTCCTCAGTTACAGCATGCTTAATGCAGTACCAAAATCGATTAACAATATCCTTGATCCAGGCTTGATTAACTGTTTGATTTTTTACAGTCCCAACCTGGCACACAAGAGTAACACATAAATCATCAATATTCAGCGCCAAACTAACCCAACCTAATATCCCAACCTAATATTAAGTGGACAAGATGTGTCTATTACAAAAGGTACAAATAGTGTGAATCATACCCGTCAAAGCTTCTTGCTTAGACTTTTAGCTGCATGCCACATATCCAGTGAGTGTTGGATCCCCCATGCTTTGTATTTACCACGCTCTGGATCTGTAAAAAAAAATAAAATAAAATATGTTGAACTACATCACAACCCAAAACACTACATACAATTTCAACCGACTTCAAATAATACAGGAAAAACAACTCACTCAACAATGCACTGATCTGTGGGTGGGCATCAGTGTCAACTTCTTTGATAGCAAGCTCTGGAAGGAGAGCTTCCATTGTACGAATAAAGCACTCCTTCTCCATGATGACCGAGTTCCTGTTGGTTTCTCGCTTATCAACAGAGACGATGTGGACAATGTCTCTGGAGTCTTGCTCTATGGTGGTGTATGTGCAAAACTGTGCACAATGACCTGCAACAACAGCACTGATGTCAGCATACATGTGTGCATTTTTAAAAACGGTTTGCACATGTCAAGCATGTTTGTAACTACACAAATGAATAGCATCAGAAAAAGGGTGGTCCAGCCTTCTGGTCGGTCAGGACACAATGGCTAGACATTGAGAGATGAACTGCATGGGCTGTGCACAGAATAAGGTCTAATGTGATGCTAATTGAGTAGTTTCAGAACCTCAAATAACTGTTACTAACAGTGAGATACACACCATTCCTACAAGAAGGTTTACTTCAGACAGCTTCACAAATTAGACATAGTAGGCGATCCTTATTATTAGTGATGGATCCGGCAACACCGATGCGTCGGCGCATGTGTCGAGCTCATAGAGCAAAACCCGTGTCGATGCGCGTATCGGCAAGGGAAAGTTACGTGACCGATACAGGAACTGTTTCGAACTGACTGATGCACCAATCTGTTTCTATTCCCTCTAAGCTGTACACTTGTGCATTCGCGCACAGCAGCACACAACAAAGCTATGCTGCACAGTAAATAAAATCAAAGCTGAACTGTAAACAAAATGACGGTTAATAATGGTTAATTTTTAACTATTTTGCAAATCTGGTGTGATGGTGTACCACAGTCTCGCTCTGTTAGCGCCAGGTGCTGATCGGAACGCACCACTGATGGATGGGTTGGGCAGGCGCCTTTATGGTTGGGCGGGTTGCGTTGTGCATCTTTGTTCTGAGCGTTGTTTCAGAAAAAACAGCTAATCTACCCTTAGTAGAAAGCTGCTACTCTGAGTAGTTCTTCCTCCCTTTGTCATACTCAGCATTTCCGATTTCAGAACAGATTGAAAGGACATGGCATCAAAGAATTTGTAAAAAAAAAAAAATAAAAAAGCCAGTCCACAAGCATCCTCCTACACAACATGTTTACTTAGAGGTTATTATATTATGATACAAGTTCACTTTATTTATTGACTATATTTAAAAAAAAATCAAATACATGTTTAACTAAATTGAAAATATAAAATACAATGCAACATACAATGATTTGAATTGTATTGTGCATACTTGGTCATCAAATCAGTGTCAGTTAACTCTGACAACCAGGTTGCCTGTAGTGATTTTTAAGGTCCACCAGGTGTCAGTATTCAGTGACACAGTATCGGCACAATATCAATACAGTTTGGCAATGTGTCAAAAGGCTTCATGACGCCTCATCGACCCATCACTACTTATTATGAATCTAAATACAGGCCATAAGACAACATAACATGACGAACAACAAAAGCCACTTGAACTTACCAGGGGAGTCCATTCTGCCATCACCTGTTGAAAACAAACATTACAGGTATTAGATACTCAGATTACAGAGTAAATCCTTCCATCAAAACCGGTGACAGAATTGTATGTGTAATAGAAGTTGGCCTCACCTAGGACAACAACGCGGTCCTTTTGTCGAAGACTTTCCAAGAC